ATATATTCTTAATTCTTAATATATATTTTATTAATATTCTTAATATATTCTTAATTCTTAATATGTATTTTATTAATATTTTTCTATTACATATGGAGTATATGTAACAAAAGTAATTTTCCCCTAGGATTATAAAAGTATTTCAGATTCAGATTCTGATTCTAGTCTTCCCACTGTTACAACAATCCAACTCTGCTTTGGTTAGAATAAATCCTTAATTCACCGACATAAATTATGTCATAAATGTTTCAGTCGCTCTACTCAGCTGCACACATAGCAGACCGGCTATAGAAACAAACCACAGAGAGGCTGCGATAGCAATATTACTTTATAAAAAAATATGTCTGTTTTGGACTGTTATAATACATGTGTATCTATGGATATTCCAGTGTGAGTGTAGTTGCACACTACAACAAGTTTTGGGTGAAGCTGCCTGGACCAATCATCTATCAGAATGGCGTTACTCCCCACCCACCTCAGTCAGACACTACACCTCATCCAGTGCCAACGACCACACCCTCCGACCTGCCTGGGCCTGTGAGTGTTACAACATTTGGACTACTGATTGTGACATTGATTCCCTATCTGAATATGCAAACTGAAAAAATAAAAATAAACTGAGTGTAACATATTAAGATCAATAACTCCCCCTCTCATCTTACACCTTTAGTTTACTTCTGAAGGATGTGGCCAATCAAAAACCTGCCTGCTAGATCCTTCAGGTTGTGATCCAAAGGAAGATCCTCACTGCTTCTTCCTGTCCATGACTACAGAGGGGCCAGGAAAAACGGTTTGACTTTTATCCGTTTCATTTAGTGGTGCAATTAATACTATTAAAGGTGCTACATTAAAACTGAGACATTCTTTTTGGACAACACCATCTCACTCCCAAGTCGTCAAATACTGCAGCTGTGTGTATCCTGCTAGCTTCATTTCTGGACATGCCTGCTGTTACAGTCAGGTGATGTAGTATGAAAAATAAAAAAAAGAAAGTCTACATATGGAGATGGTGGGGTGAAAGGATAGCTCCAACAAATTTGGGGACTTCAACCCAAGAGGCCGCTGTTTGTGTCCCGTGTGAAACCATTTCCTTCAAGTAAAGTAAGCTATGTCAGGTGTGTTACGTGAGTTACGTTTAATTCATGTACTTAAGTTAGATCTGGTACGTAATATAACTTACGATCGTTTCTTAAACATAACCAAGTAGTTTTTGTGGCTACATATAATCAAACCAAGACCATTTCACAACATCAACTATGTAAACTTTACCAGATATTGCATATTTATTCTTACTAACTTGACTGTGGAGCCCACATCCAGAAATTACGCAAGAGGGGTACTTACAGCATCATATTTTGAAACCGCTTGACCAACTGGCAGTATTTGGTTAGTTAGTAGTGAGAACATGTTGGCTTTAAGTTCACTTTTGTTAAAAGTAATAAGATGAAGGACGAATTTTAACTTATTATTTATTTTTGGCTTCAATAAAAAAAAAAATCTGTAACCCTCCATTTGTTGTGTAGCAACTGTGCGGCAAACCTCAGTTTCTATGAATACAACAAAAATGAGGAATACTATAGTAAATATTGACAGAATACATCCAATAGTTCATGAAGGAAAATGTATGTTTCTCTTGTTTAAGGCCTGACATTGTTCATAGTTACAGTACATGCACACTCGACTATCTGAAATTAGAGCATTAGATGATATATTCAATAAGACAAAAAAACATTTATTGTTATTATATAAAGTTTTTATCACTTTTTTCTGCAGTCTGTGATATTTGAGCTGAGTGGCCCAGTGGATGGATACATTGCCTTTGCACTGTCCTGGGACACATGGATGGTAAGGTAGTCCCTCAGTGTGCTACAAAATTTGAACAGCAGATATAGAGCAGGTTGATATTTCAACTTTGCTTAAGTCTCAGTGCGCCCCAGAGTTCTTCTTTCATGATCCAATTACCAACATGTTGTACCTCTATTAACCTAAATATCACTGTATATACTGTATGTATTCTGTGTTTACGGATGTGTATGTGTGTGTGTGTAGGGCAACGACGATGTGTATATGTGTGTAAAAGAGGGGCACAGAATATCAGTGAGGGCTGCCTTCGTCAGTGGACGGACACATCCTGAGGACCAGTCACAGGTGACACACACTTTCTCTGGATGAATCCATAGCAATATAAACGGAATGTACAGGAGCAGCAAACAGAAATACTACAATTAATATCACTAAAAAGCAAAATGAAAAATAGACTTATACACATACACTCTGTAATGTAATGGTACTTTATCTAAAAAGGTTTTTTGAAATGGATTACATCAAAACTTTCAGGTGCCACAAACTCAATTTTGTAAATTAAAAAATATTCCTGATTAAGCAGCTCTTACTAATAATTTTAAGTGCCACTGATTTAGTTTTGTAAGTTACAGAAACATGTCTGAATAATAACTTTTTACTAGGTATTTTGTTTTCACAGTACAAATAAAAATTTGAAAATTAAGTCAGTGTCACTGAAAATTATTAAAGCTCCTTGATCGAGGATTTTTCTTAAACTGAGTTAGTTTAACTTAAAATTGTCGATGTGATCAGTTTCAACAATTATTTTAGTTACTTGTTGCCTTCATTGCTTTGGTTGGTTAGGTTTAGGCATGTGGAGTGAGATTGGTTAGGGTAAGAATTTTAGGGTAAGCCAATCAGAGGCAGTAGGGTGAGTCATGACTTTGCCATCCTGGAAAAAAAGGACGCAATATTGCGTCCTGGAGACTTCAGTGAGAATCCAGTGCTTATTAACTCTATGGCAACCACAGCCAGAGACACTGCACAGGCTATCCCTATCCTCTTGCTTCCAGTAATTATGCCAGGCTAAGCTAACCACTTGAGTGAGTCCAACTCTCTACTTAAGGCTCACCCAGGAGATTAATATCTATCTTTTCACAAAGAGAGCGAATAAACATATTTTACATTTTAAGCCATAAACCATCAAATTGTTTGTTCTTTCTGTGTGTTTGCAGTCTGGTCTCTCCTCGGTGTCATGGCGGCTGGCAGATGGAATGATCCAGTGCAGGTTCAGTAGACCAATCAAACTGAGCAATCAAGACCCAGCCCGCTACGATCTGGACCAGGAGTACTTTCTTTTTCTAGCTACCGGACATGCTCAGCACGGTGAGAGTGTATGCACACACACCTTGGAAACTGAACTCATTGACCTGGGTAATCTTCCTGTGTCTAAAAGGCCAATTAAAGTTCTTATCAACCTGTCAAGCTTTATTATGTCACATGACAGATGTCATCTTGGAATAGGTAACAGGATCATTAAGGTCATTAACAGGAAATGTTGATCACTGTTGTTTTTGTTCTTACATTCTGGTTAATGGCCAATGGTCAATTGGCCTTGCAATATTGAAATGATCTGACTCTGTGACATGAATTTGCAGTGTTTAACCATATTTAACACACATTTGATGGATAAGGATTGGTTTTATGCCTTTGTTCAGAGCGTCAGTACTGTCAGCTTTGTCTGAAGGTCTGGCATTCCTAGAATGACTGTTAATCAGTAACACAGAAGACTTTTATGTTCTTCTTGAATACATCTGGGGTAGTAGTCGTAGTAGTTAGTTTTCTGACATGTACAGTAATTATTAAAATTTAAACATGCATTATTTTTGTGTCTCTAGGTAATATATGGAGACATAGTCAACAGCCACTAATCTCCACCAAAAGAAAAAACATCACTGGAACCCCTGAGGTCCTAAGAAGCTCCCGGGGTCCCATTATTATGAAAATTCATGGTGCACTAATGCTGTTAGCCTGGATGCTAACAGGAAGTGTTGGTACCTTCATCGCCAGCTTCTACAAACCTGATTGGCCAAATCAAACTCTGCTTGGCCAGAAAGTCTGGTTCCAGGTAGATATTATGCACACAAATGTTTACTTATGTCACTTTTGGGGATTACATTAGGGACATGACTTTTGTCCCCAGTTGAACAGGCTGCCTCCAATTAACAGGTCTTTAGTCTGAAATGTGTCCCTGGTGTCCACAACCTCACCTTAGATCACATAACATGAACTGCATTTAACAAGCTAAATACACTCACTTGAGTGGCTCTCCCACTAAACTATGGCTTTATGGTCAACTAGTCAGATTATTTGGCGTGAGGAGGAGTCTCTCAAATGGTTTGTCAGACCATTCCTCCTCGGAGTCAGTACAGGACTGCCCAGGCTGAAGAGCCTCTCCACAGGTGCACTAGATGGCGTCGCTGTGTTAAATGTTATGGATATTGTAGGGAAACGGTTCACTGTGGTACAGACAAATGCAATGTGATTACAGTAAGGCGTTACACCCAACACTGACCCTAGCTTTAACCCTAGCTTCCCCCTAAAATGTATGTAAAATGGAGACTTGCATTTTGTCCCCAAAAGGAAGGCTGGTCCCCACAATGTGAGTGTGTAAACATTAGTAATACCATACGTCCATATCAACATACCTTTCAACATCACAGCAGTGACATTTTGTTTATGTGTGTAGGTTCATCGAGTGCTGATGCTGCTAACTGTGACTCTGACCGTTGTAGCCTTTTGCCTCCCATTTTTCTACAGGAAAGGTTGGAGCAAGGTACAGTACACACATACACAGATGCTTATGGGCACCAAATGGACTAGTCAGAGCATGAAGTACCAGTGAATCACAATGTTTCAAGTTAATTTGCATTCTCCCTGTTGTTAAAATGATGGTAAAGAGAATAAATTACCCATCTGGACATAATATTCTCATAATTCCAATTTAATTTTCAGTAATTACTTACTTTTTTGTAAGTGTGTATTTTTTATTATTGTACATGTCCATTTACAACAGTGCGACAAATCCATAAACTGTAACAAAAAATATACTGTCTGGTTGTCAAATTCATTCATTCAGTCAAGAGGGATGTTGGATCAGTTACTGCACAACTCTTTGTGTGTGTGTGTGTGTGTGTGTGTGTGTGCAGCATGCAGGTGTCCATCCATACCTAGGCTGCTGTGTTTTGGCATTATCTCTGATTCAACCAATAATGGCTGTGATCAGGCCATCACCTGACTCACACAGGTAAACGCTACTATATATTTATATGCAGATGCCACTACAATGTTTATTATTTCAGTATACAGTATATCAATACATTGGTATTATTTGTATCTCTGTCCAGGAGATATGTCTTTAACTGGGCCCACTGGGGAGTTGGGTCTTTGACTGAGATCATGGCAGGTTTGTCTGCATTCAACTTTTAAATAGATCTGACAAACGTCTTTTAAAAATGTAAACCCAACAAAAATTAGGAATTTGTTAGATAAATTCTCTGTTGCAAATGTTATTTTTGTATGTCCAGTTAAGCCTTCCTAAGCCCATCCCATTTTTTGGCTGTACTCCTATTACAGTTGAGTCTGAACATTGGTCAGCTTTCTCAACATATATAGCACATCTTAAGTTAGCTATTGTTAAAATGTTAGCTAGCTGCCTAACTAACGATTGACGTAAATTAACTAGTTAGGTAGTATTTTGCTAATATTAGCTTTCAGATGTAACTAGCTAGCAAGTGTGAACCTATCATGACGTCACCCATTGGTTTGTTGAGTACCGTTTTGAGTCTTTTCAGATCCGGAAGCTCTGTCCATTATATATAATATATATAACTATATTATAGTCAATGTATTGTATATATATATATGTGTATATATATACGTGTGTGTGTGTGTGTATCAAAATCTTTTAACCAGTACAGTAAAAGTTGACTGAAGTTTTGATCAAGGAAAATATAGCTGTTTTTTCCTTTTTCATAAAAAGTATTGGTTAACGAAAGTTTCATCTTGTCTCTATGTTACTACAGTGGCAGCCATGTTCCTGGGGATGCGTCAATCATCACTGCTCCTCCCCCAGCCGTGGGCAACACATGTTCTGATTGGCTATGTGATGTGGCTGGCCTCATTTAGGATCTTCCTCCTGATGCACAAGCACCTTTGCATCAAAAAGTGTATGAAAACTTTAGAGTTTTACGACTAGACTGCTAGTTGAAATATGATGACAAGAAATTATTCTTCATGACATGAGTACTGAGAGCACTGTTGAGTGACTCCCCATACTTATCTCTATAGGTACCTATCTAACTGTTGTTTGTTTGACCAGCAGCACAGGAGTCAGATGACACACAGGGAATCCTCTCTGACCAATCAGAGCATGGTCACTGGGTAGGTATCAGCTGCAAACAAACAGTTCCCCTAGGTTAATGCAGTGCTCTATCTGTATATAACATAAATCATATCTGCATTCACTTCTTGTGCCAGGGCCGAGCTGGGCCACTTACATTATTCACTGACACACCTAAATGGATGTTTAGTGTTTTTTACACCTGTGCCTTTCTTGCTAGAGCCGTGCACTAAATATGCAATAAGGCATATAACAGTGCTCTTGCTGATATCAACAGCTCAGCCAGGCTTTGGTGATCATACATCAACAACACCTGTTATTTGACAAAAATGTAAATTTTGTTTAACCAGTTTTAACCTGACAACCTGGTCAGCTAGTTCTCTGTCTCACCCAGCTAGCGGGTACTTTCATCTCAAAAGACATAGCATGTTTTCAAGTAGGCATTATTTTAAAAAAACAACTACACATCTATACAGTTGATTTCTCACCTAAAAATATCGAAAAACTAATTGTGATGATATATGATAACATTGCCACTGGTTGATGTGAAATAATAAAGTAATATTTTCCTCCCCCACGGTCACCAAGTCTAGTGAGACTAGGCCTAGTGAGAACACTTTTTGCCTGAATGAGGACTCTTAGGACAGGTGAGATATTTTCTAACTTGTACCTTACTTTCTGTTTCAGGGGTCCTTCATAAAGTCTCTCATCTTGGCTGTGTTGGCTCTCGGAAACGCTGGTCTCCTAATGGCCTTGTTGTCTTCTATTGCTGAAATTTGATATTTAATGGCAAAAACATTAAATATCTTTCACAACCATGATTGACAGGTACTTTACTTTATTTGTTTTTATGCAAAGCTTGGAATACCAATAAAATTCCAAGTCCAGCAAAGCCAGATAACAGAAAGAAGGAGGAACTTAACTTTATTATGTCAACCACACAATCATTTAATTATTTATTTAATATCTGTATTAAGGCCTAAGAGAAATCTAAGTAAGTTGTTTACTCTCCTACGTTTATGACTTAAAAACGGGTGAAAACTAAAAGTTTGGGCCACATAATCTTTCCTTAAGTTTCTTAATTTGAAGTTCTAAGTTCAAAATTAGTATGATAACAACAAACACACAAGGGAATTTAAAAAAAAATTATTGAACTATGCATTGATTTTCTTAATAACTGTAAATACAGCTGAGCCTTCACTAAAATACAGAAAGTTAAACTGAAAGAAAATATCTAAAACTATTATTTGACCTTTTTTTGCACGGTAAATATTAATTATATTATATTATATAATCTTTATTTTATTTATTCTGCACCCCTGAAAAGGGTGTTATGTTAAATGAACTGTTAACAAATACACATCCTCCTACTTTGTGAGTCTGGTAACGGTAAAGGTAAAGACATTTTCGCACTTTTTGAATTCAGATTGAATGTGAACAAAAGCCATTAAATATTATATATAACATATAATTCAGAAGGAAAAAGAACATTGCCACATGTTCATACTTATACAATTGTCAACATGGACCTAAATCACAGCACACCAAATATGATGTAAATATAAATATGTCAAATTGTGAATCTTGAGCAGTGACCTGTTAAGAGAAAATAATACACTTTGGTTGTTGATTATTCAGCTTACATGAAATATGACATGTGGCTACAAATCATATCAAAACAGTATATCAAAATTACATTACAATTCTACATTACTTTTAACCTGAGGCAGTACATGATGCTGAACCTTTGAAAGTAATGACGAAAGGCACCACCAACTTGACATGTACACATGAATTTACCATGAGCAGTACTGGTAAGCTGGTGAAAACAGTTCTATCATGTCTTTTGGCCATCAGGGTCATCTCTGCTTGGGTTACGAGAATTTAAGGTTCAAACAGAAATTCATTTTTTAAATTTAGGTTTTAATTAAGCTGGGGCGCCTTGGTAGCTCACCTGGCAGAGCTGGACCCCATGTGCCCGGCTGAGTCCTGACTGCAGTGGCCATGAGTTTGGCTCCAACCTGTGGCCCTTTGCTGTGTGTCATTCCCTTACTCCTGCCCCTTTCCTGTCTCGCTTGAGCTGTCCTGTCCTGTCAGAAAAGTTGTTCCCTTGTGATAACTTTTTATCACTAAATAAAGTTGTTTTCTCATAAAAAACAATCTCAGAAATTTGTCTTTTGTTTTCTCAAGATAACAAGATATATTAACTCTTGATCTTGAGTTAACAGCATTTTTAAATAACTGCAAACCTGGCCGTTCTTGGGCTCCGATTTCGTTAACAAAAAGTGAGTGAAAACAGCTTCTGTCCGACCAACAGTCTCCCTCCAACATGGTGTTGGTCCAGAGTGATGCACAGGTCAGAATGACCACCAAGTAGGCTATATTGTCCCTTTCATATTTCCATGACAACTACATAAATTAGCCCAGTCCCACTCACTATTAAAGGTCACACCTTGGAAACAAAATATTTGCTCAAACCTGTTTGTTTTATTCATGTAGCATCATACATCATGTTCACTTTCTTTTGAAAGCCTGTTTTTCTACTTCTTTCCATAAAAAAAGATTTATTTAGACTCCTATATAACCTACATGATAATGTATTTGTTTCCTTTTTAATATATTATATGACTAATAATTTCATGTAATGTCCCAAGGCTTATGTTGTTCAGTGTTGTCTTGTTATCCCTAACTGCTCGGAGTAAAAATACTACACTGGTGTGCCATCACATTATACATCAGTATATTACATAACAGTCTTACCCCCACACAACATTGCATGTAAATCAGTATGATTTTACAAACCGCAGCTTTTCCTTGCCCTGTATGAAACACAAGGACCGTTACGCTGCAAAGACATCAAACACAAAATCACAGCCATGCAATGACGACCACAGACATACAATAAGCGCGTGTAGGAGATTATCAAGTTTCAACGTAAAAAAATAAAAAACGCACTAATCCTAAGGTTGGATAAGACGCTCGGAGATGACAGATGTGCTTCTCTTGTATGTGTGTGTGTGTGTGTGTGTGAGAGAGAGAGAGAGTATTGTGAATGCCTGTATCCATCCTATAATAAGTGTGAGAGTATGAGGCTGAACATGTGTGCGTCGCAAATGTTGCTAAAGCTGCTGTTTTCTGATTGGCTGCTGCCCACACACACTCAATAAGCACCCCGCTGGCACTGAGATGTGTGCATGAGAGAGAGAGAGA